TTCCAATGCAACAATTGAATAGCATGTCATCATCAGTCGTCGTCAGACCACTGCTGGATGAAGTGCCCTTCAAGACTTCCTGCCTATGCAATTTTCATCTATGTTCGTTAAACTAACATCTTCATCTCATCCCATCGTTATCCGGAGACCTTCTCACGGACCGTTCACTCTTTCTTGCAAACCGGTCTAATGTTTATCCGATCACATGACCACTGGAACTTTTCTACTCGAGGGATGGCATCGCAGACAGACTCCTGTTTGTGCACTTTCCCATTCATTCATTTTCCTATCTAGCAACACAAATAATTACATATAATTAAATTGAAATTCACGGGCGTCAATGGCTCCGCTTAGCGCCATGTCTGGAAAAACAAACACGACAGGTTTTACGTCGATTGAACGAAAAATTATATCCGGAACATGACGCACGTCCCTTAATCAGTTATTGATGTACCGGCTCCAATGGACAGTTTGTTCGTATCCTATCATCTGCTGCGGTGGAAGTGGTAATATTCTTTTCTTTCACTGATTGCTAAACTGATATAAATCGATACTGCTCTGGGTCTTTCCTTCGCAACGGTACTCGGCGAACAGAATTCTGGGGAGATCCATCATACCTAGGATTACAGGCAGGTTTACAAGACTGGCTAGACAATTTCTGCATTACTCAAAAAAACTGAACGTTAATTGCGTGATGTCAAAGTATTCCAGACGGAAAGTATGGTAGGCATATTAGTAATTGCCTCAAGCGTAGATTCAATGACACAGTCAGACTCAGATCGACCATAGCTTTTCAATGTATTTCATTTCGCGCGTGCACAAATGGCAATATTCGACTAGACGATAGAAGAATTTTGTTTTCGGCATGAAGCAATAATATACGACCAATGTCGTTTCATAGAATCGCTCTCCTAGGTTCAAAGCAAAACTCCATGATAAACCATCGTTAATACGCTTGAACTGCATTCTCAGTTTGATACTGTTTAGATTCACATTGGGGTCACCATTCTTCTTGTTCCTGCCTTCTATCATTATTCATATATTTTGTGTACAGTTTATGCCCATGGTTATCGATTTCGATACACCTGCTAAATCCGAAACCAGAAATAGTAAGGCATCATCGCAAAAGAAACGGCGATCATGTGTACTTGGATGACTTCGAATTACGGGATAATGCAGCACCTTGATATTCGTATGTTCACCTGGTATTGTGATGCTTTAATGGAGAACCACCTTTCGATCTAGCTATGGTTCTACCAGAAAGGAGAGACGCGGCTGTTGAATAGTCACAAACTAACGATGAACCTGGACGGCAAATTTACGACAAAGACAGAGAAGAATTCATATTGCAATGGCATGGTTGGCTAGAAAGGAGATTTACCATAGAGACAATGAATGATGAACGTGAGTCTTGGGAATCTCTTAATCAGTCTAGTCAAGAATTTTGTTCTACAATAAAGGAAACTCCGGAAGAACTGTCCCTGCGTTACCATTATACGCTTAGTCACCATTTATGAAACTACAGAAACGATGCTTATTCATTTACTAAACATTATGCACAACTGTGATCAAATATATCTTTATAATACGTTTGTCGGCGATGTGTATGAGGTGATGCCGTATGGAGAAAGGGCCAAAATGATGTCCTAAAAGAAACAGTTTATAATCAAGGAGTGAGCCAAGAAAATTCGCTCTCAGCTTACTGCGTAAGTACCTGTTTCACGCAAATTCAATAATTCAAAGATTGATTGTGAAACAATGTCCAGTGGTCGAACAACGATAGATTATCATTGAAGCTGGCTCATTAATAGCAATTGATATACTGTCTTAATTACCTAATTATGCTAGTGCATATCTTTTGGAGATAAGAAAGGAAGCTAATATACGAAACGTATCAATCCGTTCACTTTATCCATAATAAATTTGCTTTTAGTCGCTTTACGCCGTTAACCTGTAATGAACAATGAGGAGAGAGGTATTCCTTTGTTATTGTGTAAGAACAGTGTCAAGTAGCTCGATAGCAACAGCTTCGCACCACATTAAGACAGTGATTGAGAAGCACATTTGGAATGATAGACGCTATGCAGATTATTTCGAGGAGTTAAACATATGCGAGAGAGATCTATAGTGTCGTGAGGTCGAATATAAGAGTTCATTAGTGTATACCAGCATTCTCGTCAGTAACCTGTTCATAACCTCTGACTGCAAACACCCGGCTATTGATTATTTTGCTGAAAAACTTCGTGTAAGTGTCCAGCTCGGTTGAAGAACCAATTACTTGTGATCACTTGCAACGTTGACCTACACGACCTGACACGGTTATCGGGTATTCCTCTAGTAGACCACGTTCAATCATCTTTAATTCGTTTCAGAAACAACACATAATGTTCACATGTGCATAAATACTGAAATTTTAAGGATATCATAAATCAGACGAATTAATCAGATGAGCAGATGGCATCGTGTACATTCCTGGTTTGACATTATTCAGGAAAGGGCATTCTTCACATCTGAAATTGCAAAAGATACGGACAGCTGTTGAAGAGGTTATACCTTGTTTATTATTGCGCTCTGAGGTAGGCATTCAGCATGCTGCGGTAAATTTTTAGCTTGCATTTGTTTATTCCTTGAAGCTAATTCAATAAGGTTTTTTGAGAGTGCAATTAATACTCCCTCCTATGTCGCACACAGTAAGTTTTCATATCGAGATTTACATAAAAAACTGCAATTTCAGTCATGTCCCTCATCAATTAGCACTGAAAAGCAGACGCTGACCTCTTTGTAAAAAAATGATCATTGAGGCACCTGTTTTTTATTAGGAACATTGCCCTACTCTATTAAATGATATGTTTTCTGTTTTTTCTCGAGAAAAGCAACATTGCATATCGATCATGTGCCCTTAGGCGTAAATACAAATGCAACTTCAGTCACTTCATTTAATTATATGATTGAATTATCGGACTGGTGAACACTGTTTTCTTAGGAGGATCAAAGCCAATCAGATTGAGGTTGTCTGTACCATCATATCATTAGAAGGCTCTCAGGTTATTACAGTAGTTATATAGAATGCACTTTACGCAGCAGCTAAACAAATAACATGTTCTCATATTTATCTAACTGTACACATAATTTTGTTTTGCCTAAACGTGTGATCCTGTGCTTTGAGCAACGTTTTTATTCTTCAGTGTATTTTACATATTGTCGATTTCATTTTGTACCCTCATTATCAGACACAAATACGAAAGTGCCTATTGCATTTATGGGAAGATTCGACGAAAACATTCCATCATAGCTTTTTAAGCATATTTCTAGAAATTTTCTTTTGGCTCTGCACCTTGTGCTGATAATCACACTGGACTATCAGCCATTGGATGGGTTAATGAAAATTTTGACCCCGATCAGCGCTCGCATCAAATCATATGAAAACACGCCAGGTTCATTCTGGTTTGACGAAACAGACGGAGCATGCTGCCCTGAACTGTAAGCGAATTGCTATTGGTATCTCAGCTGCTTGCAGTAAAATAACATGGGGTAAATTCCTTGCTCAAATCAATTAGATGATTGATTTTTCTGAGTTCCAGCTAGGTTTCTGATAACTACTCGACTGGTCTCTGCAGCAGCAATTCTAATGTTGTAATAACGCTCATAATTAAATATCGTAATTTTCTTTATTTAAGGGTAGACCGCGTTATGTATTTCTATACGCTACATCTTCTTCCCTTGGGCGATCATTTTGACGGATGCCAAGCCCGTTCGTTGCATAAGTTTGCCATTCAGCATATCATACATAGATCTTAGATTCAAGCCTTGCAGTATTTTCTTCTGACAATTTTCTTGATAGAATGGAACCTAACAGCTTCTGCGCTATGCAAAACTACAAGGATGTCAGTGTCTTGACATCACAGTTGACACATTCACCTTCTGTATTTTCAGAACGACACAAACTTTAACAGACAGTCATATTGCTCTTAAAACGCACCACGCAACATTAACATGATAATATTAAAATCATGAGACTAAGGCAAAACGATGTTTCATTGAACCGACAATCCAACAAGTTTTGAAATAGGCCGCTTCACAACTTTCATCTACAACCTCATCTTCCATAAGCGCATCTCCTTTTGGGTCGCGGAGGCAGACGCATTAGGCAATACTTCAAACCTTTGCAGGCTGTGCCAGAATATGAGCTTCGGTAAAAGACAGCTGGAGTCCAGAGAAAACTCGACTCCTTCCATATATTTGCACCAGGCCAATCTTGGCCGTACCCTGGGCCTTCGACTGGTTGGCTAAAGAAGATATAGTTGCTTCGCCTTCCTTTCTGGAGACATTCACAACACGTGCCCAAACCAT